ACTTTGTGTCATGACCCATCCACTTCCAGTCTTTATTCAAGCCTAAGTTAATTGTATCCAGTTTGCAAATTAATTCCAATTCAGCAGTCTCTCGGAGTCTGTTTGTGAAGTTTTTTTGTTGAAGAATTGCCACTTTTAGGTCTGTAACCAAAGAGACTGAAGCGTTCTCCGACTGGTTTTTGAACATTCTCATTCTTGACGTCTGATTTGTGTCCATTTATTCATTTATACTTAAGCTTAATTCTATACAGTTTTTCAAGGACATTGCCGTATCTGTCACAGAGTATCAAGACCAATTTGGAATTATGAGAATCAGATCTGCTTCATCTTCTCTAATCTATGAAGAAATGTGGGGATTGAGGGTATGGTAAGAAAGATGTAGAGAAGTCCAAAAGAGCAGCGGCTCAAGAGGATCACCGCTTTTGCTCCACTTTATCTGACCATGCTGCAAACACACAGAACAGCAATCTTCAAATGACAGCAAGTTTGAAATAATACTTTGCTGGATCCATTTGGCAATGTAGTCTGCTATCACGTTTAAGACACCTGCTCGATTTATTGCTGAGAGGACTTTCATCCCACCTTAAACATTAAAGGCTCTACAACAAAATAAGAACTCAGAAACCCAGAGATGTAAATCCTGATCAAATCTGCTCTAGACTGAGGAATTTGGCTCGAATCTATAACTAGAACCAATACTCTAAAAAGATCTTAGGACAATTAGGGTTCATGAGGACCTTGTACTTCATCAGGTTCTGTACAAGTGTTCATTTACATGATTTGCACACTACAACCACCATGAAGAGTTTGTTTCCAAGATCACAGACCTGCTTATGTTCCCTTTAAGATCAATGACAAAACTTGATTTACTTCATTAGGAGAAAGCTCACTGTTTGCTAACAGACTAAGGAGGCATAATCTTGGAGGCACATTCCTGGGACCAGGAAGGACCATTAGAATATTAATTAGGAAAAAGAAGGCTTAATTCACAGATTATCATTTGGAAAGATTCTTGTTTGAGGTATGCTGATACTTGTGTCAAGATTAAAAAACTGACTAACCCTGGGGTTGAACCATGCTCTCATAGGGCATAGACATTGAGATGCAACCAGTGATTAGGAGAAGTGATCACACCTGATACACACCTTTGAGCCTGGATTAAAATAATTCCCTTTATCTAGCCACTCATCCAGATAAGGTACCCTGGGCACTGTTTTAGCATCAAGCTGCTTGAACCATGAATAGGCTTTCTGAAGCATCCCTGGAAGTGCTGAAGCTACACATTAAGGATTATAAAAATGAAACTGCCATGAGTTGATATCAAATCTAAAAGCTTCTAATGGCCTGAGAACTATGAAACTTTGTGGGTATGCAACCTTTGAGATCAAAGCTAAGTAAGCAGCATGGAGGAGTTATCTACACAAGTTTTTACCATGAATATTTTATAGTCTGAAATAAGACCATTTATGCCCAGAATTGAGCAACAACCTCCAGATTTCAAACAAACCAGAAAAAAAAATCCAGGATGCTTTTGATGAGCAAGGAAACTATGTGCTCAAGAAATGAAGGCACAGTAAAGTCTCTGGAGACAGTACAGAGAGTTCATCGTAAGTACAGTATTCCATTCCTGTCATCTAATAATAGAGACTGTTACCTTCCACGAAGAAGTTCCTGAACAAAGAAGAATCAAATTGTCAAATTCTACTCAGCTTTTTCAGGATGCTAAAAGGTCCAACATGGGTCTTATGTTTTGTTCTTGTTCTGTTCTTGACATCAAGACTTGTATCAGACTGGGAATCACACATACAATGTGGTTGCTAAATGAGAACTGCTTAAGATTCTCCATTCCACTGATGATAAAAAAGGGAAGATTTTAGAGCTGAGAAGAATTTACAGCTTTGGCTAATCCCATTCTGGAAGGAAGGAAGGAAGGAAGAATAAATGCTTGTCTTGAAAAAAAGACAAGTTAACAACTATGTTTTAAATACACCCAGAAGGTAGCCCATGCTATCCTACTGTCTGCCAGGCACTGGATAATTAAATATGGCCAAAAAATGCCTCTAAAAATCTCAGAATCTTTGAAACCTTCTGGCCCCTTAAGCCAGTTTCTCAATAAAATGTAAAAATGAAGGGATCCTATAACAAAACAAATATTTCACTATCATGCCCTAATTTTATTATTTACAAGACCAGAGCTCTGTCTGAGACAGCCTGTAATAGTAGCAGCCACTCCAGGAACTTCACATTAAATTTTTTGGGAACTTAAAGTTTATTAGACTTTAGAGGCCACTGTGGAATCTAGTACTGACTCAATGAGCTCTATCCTCTGGATAGGTATTAACAATGACTTCTCTTTGTTGACTGAGACTCAGGTAGGTGAAACGCTGGAATCTCCAATAAATGCCGTCATCCCCATGCTGTGCTTATTTCCCTTGAAGCCAATCATTGAGGTATGGGTATACCTGGATTCCTTGCTGTCTCAGGTGAACCACCACCACCACCAGGCATTTTGTAAAGCCCGTTGGCACTGTTGATAGTCCAAATTACAGAACTCTGTATTGGTAGTGGCAATTACCCACTTGGAACCTCAAGAATTTTTTTCCTGTGAGCTGGATAGATTGTTACGTGAAACTAGGCACCTTGGAAGCTGAGAGCCTTGAACCAGTCCTGTGGCTCTAAAAAGGAGATTTTGGTGGCTAATGTTACCATCCAGAATTTGAATCAACAGATTCAGGTATTTAGCTATATCAAGTCCAGAATCGGGCACCTTTCCCCCTTTTTCTTTGGTATTAAAAAATAATGGGAGTAAAGCCTTCCACTCTGTGGCCTGACCTGCTTCCTCCTTGGTATAGGATAGGAGGCACCTAATGATCTTAATGATACTCAAGAACCTTTAAGAAGTGAAGCCTAGAGAGAGGAGCATGTCACCATCTGACCCTCAGGAACAAGGAACTTAAATTCCTTCTTGCTGTCAAGGGGGAGTTTGTCCAAGAATTTAGAAGCACAGTGCCAATTTAAATAATCATATTTAACATAATAAACATGTCCAGTAATTGGCAAATTCTCATTTGCAGCTGGCTGAAGAGTGTGTCCAAATAAATAATCTTTTTTTGTTTCTTTACTCAGGGCATAGACATTCGTGATCCCTGCTGTCTGATTCATTCATGGATTGCAGCCACAACTAAAGAGCCTAGAACAGGATGCATGCAGAACTGCTCAAATCCTGATAATGGGACTTGATAATCAGCTCTTTTGAATGTAGGCATTGGGCATGCTGGTGTCTGCCAGACCTGTATAGCTGGTTCCAGAAGTCACTTGTTAGCCAACTGTTCAGGTAGAGATCCATGAAAAGTGTCCAGGAGTTATGGGATTTCTCCTGGAGAACTTCCACTACTATTTCAGGGGTGTCTGTAATATGGCAAAACTGCAAATGAAAGGCCTTGTAATCATCAAGTTTTGTGTTTGATAAAGAAAGTGAATGCTCTTGTCCAGTGAAGAAAAAGAAGAAACAGTTGCTCGTATAAGTTCTTCAGCATGCAGATCCTCTTCCTCAGAGCCTTGCTCCTGTAATTGCTCAGGAACTGTTCTCTAAGGTCCTTGAAGCATTCCCTTGTGTTTTGTGAGAGGAGGAGACCTGAGGCTAGATGGAGCTGCAGAAGCTGGCTTCCTAGCAGGCTATAATTCCTAAGCTGCACAATATGCCCAAGACTGGTAATAAGGGTACGGGGCCAGGAGGGCCAATACCATGGAGAATGCTTGTCTTTTGAACCCCTAGACGTAGGGAAATAATAAAGTGCTCTAGATTCCCTGTCAGAGCTATACAGATCAAATTATTGGGACCTTGAAGAGTGGCTGGAGTGATACCACTCCCTGCTATGCTCAGAGGCTGAGGAGAATGAGTATTTCCTCCTCTAGAGGTAGAGACTACCTTAACCGGGGTCCCAAGCAGAACCACAGCATCCAATGTGGCTGGCCCTGAAGAAGAACTTGATGCCATAATGGTGCAAGTGGTTGGTAGCATGAATGGTTTTCTCACCGCAGAGGAGAGCAGTTGCGATTCAGGGTGAGCTGACACTGAGGCCACCCAGTACTGTGGAAGCTTTTGCTACTGGGAAAGATGGTACCGAGGGCAAACAGATGAAGATGAAGTACCAGGGTCCCAGATACCGATGATGTCAGTACCAAGAGCTTCTGCCAGGTGAGACATCCACGAAAGGTATGTACCAAAGCACAGTGACTGGTACCTGAGGGGATGCCAACAGGACTCATTTTCAGCCTTGAGCTGTTTAAAAAGGCAGCGTGAGGAGACCTCTGCTTTTTTCTGATGAGGACTGGGTGAGAGTGACCTAGTTTTATGCTTTTTCCTTTCCTAACAACCGCCTTTTTACCAGTCCTAGAGCGCTGAGGCTGAACTCACGGGAGCACTTCGAGCAGAGGCTTGTTCTGGTCTGTCATGCTCATTCTCCTAGATCTGTTGTAAGGGCAGAACCCAGTACTAGCAAAGTCTCACAGCCAGCCATGAGGGGATTCTTTTAAGGGGTGAAGAGTCAGTTTCATGTTTGTTTTAGTTCTAGTTAATTTTTCTTTAGAGTTCTGTGCTGGTGCAATGTGGCAATATCTGAGCTTAAATCACTCCATAAAAATGCTGAATTCCAGATTTTAAACAGTGAATATAAGTTAATAAAAGCTAGTAGAGTAATTTTCAGTTTTGCATTAAAAAGATTATCCCAGTAAGATTGGAGCCTAAAATACCAGAGCACGTCCCTTTCTATGAGCAATCACAAGGGCTGCAGAACAAAGACAGATAGAACTTCCTTAGAAACAAATTATGAACTGCATGAATCACTTGGAGTAAAATTCACAACACTAAGTCACTCAGGAATCATTTCATAAAATAGAATTTAAGGGCCTAAGTCCTTTATGCACTTGAAAATTTTACAATTTTATTTTTAGTAACAAAAAAAATGCACAAAATAGGACTGAATGGTAGAGCAACTCACCTGATTTCTTTCAGTCCTTCTTTCTGGATAACTTGAAGAATCTCTTTATGGCTCATAGGTGTGTTGGGATATTTCTCCAGGACCTGGCATGCATAAACAGATGAAGAGGGCAAAATTACTTATCTGCAATTTTTCATAAAACAAAAGTATCTTCTCCTAAATAAATCCATACTTAACAGTTTTCATGTCTCCAGGGAGCACACTGGGAGACAGCAGTTAATGGGTTGCAGGAATCTCTTCCCTATCCCTTTCACCTGAGACTATAATTGCAAGTCATGGCAATAGATTAAATACATAAATACTGCATAGCTTCAAATTTCTTTTTGCCATTTAAAGCTTAAAGTAATTGGGATTTTTAGTTCTCACTTAAGTGGAAGGACAAATCTGATTGGTCTATATAGGCTACACCTTCAGAAAAAAAACTTACTGGGTAAGACCTCACAGTCCAACTGCCTTGTTCCTCGAACCTTCAAGCCTGTTGTAAAAGCTGACCGCAAACAAGATGTAAATTTGGTGAACAATTTACCAAAGGTCTACAATGAGTATCCACCATCACTTACAATTTTTAAATCAAGATTGGATGTTTTTCTAAAAGATCTACTCTAGTAATTATTGAGGAAGTTGACAGGTTTTCATTAAGTTGGTTTTGCATAATCACTCAATTCCCATTTCAATGCTTTTTGTTGTGTTTTAATTCTTTTCCTTGTGTGTTTCAATCAATACATTTCTAACCTTTAACCTCTAACATGAATTTCCTAGTGTGTTTGCCATGGTATTAAGCAAGCTGATGCCTATGTATCTGAAATTTGACTCTTTGAACCCATATAGTCCATGAAAATTAATCCAACTGCACATGATAGCTGTAACACATAAAACACTTTGCACTGGGTTCTAAAACATCATTGTTCTTTCTTTAGTAGCACAAGAAATACACAGAGCTACATAAAAAAATAAACCCTACACACACTCCTTGTTTCACCTTCCTCAGCACTCAGGAGTATACTTTGGGCAGGGGTCCAGGTCCTCTGCAGATGTCCAAGACTCTTCTGCAGCTCATGGTTTGACTTCTGAACCATGTAGCTTTTCTTCCCCTCTAGCGCAGCTTGTGTTTTCTGACCTTGGTTGGTCACACAGCTGAACTGAGCCCTCTCTGCTATGAAAGCATACCCCCACTTCTTTTCCTGCCCAAAGCTTCTTGTGTCTGAGTCCCTCAAGTTTATATGTGGCAACACCAACATATGGTTCCTTTGTTCTGTTGCTAGAGATTTTCCACTGCTCTAAATGCCAGTCACCTGTTGAGGGGTAGAAGAATACTCGTTCTCTGAGGTTTGAGCTAACCCCATTGTCCCAAGATGTTTCCATCTGAATAGCCAACCATTTAGATTTAATGACTGACTATTGTCCCTAGTCTAGCAGAGATGTGACACAGCCCTGTCAGCCTATGACAGAATCCACATACTGTAGTTATTCAATAATACTACGAAACTTGCTGTAACAGCTTCATAATACCAACCAGAATTCATAAGATGTACAGACAGATTACCCAAATCACCACCAGGGGGGATGGGAAGAGGAGAAAGGGTGAAAAAAGAAAAAAACTACAGTTCAAAAGATACTATAAATATTCTTCCTTCCTCCAGAACAGTAAATGTTCTACACTGATACACATTTCTAGATGGAATAAGATTGTGTCCCATCTCATCAGAAGTAGATTCAGATACAGCAATCCACATATTCAATTACTGCAGTTCTTCTACAGAATGACGTCACATATCCTGAAAAAGCTTCAACTGGTACAAAATGCAGCAGCCATTTTGCTTAGCAACACAGGTCAGTGTTATCATCCCAGTCAAGTCTCTCTTTGAAACCATGACATTATTCCAGTGGAATACAGCTAACTGCCTATCAAAAGAGAGGCTCATGAGCACTGGAACAACTTTAAAAGGAGCAGGCATCAGCTGTGAAATTCGCTACTAGAAGAATTAAAAATAACTACAGATTTCAGAGTAGCAGCCGTGTTAGTCTGTATTTGCAAAAAGAAAAGGAGTACTTGTGGCACCTTAGAGACTAACCAATGGTTAGTCTCTAAGGTGCCACAAGTACTCCTTTTCTTTTTAAAAATAACTACTAAACTCATAGGTTTCAGAGTAACAGCCGTGTTAGTCTGTATTTGCAAAAAGAAAAAGGAGTACTTGCGGCACCTTAGAGACTAACCAATTTATTTGAGCATAAGCTTAGCTGTAGCTCACGAAAGCTCATGCTCAAATAAAGTGGTTAGTCTCTAAGGTGCCACAAGTACTCCTTTTCTTTTTTACTAAACTCATCCAATTCAGAACTAAATGCAAACCTTGTGTCTTCAACTTGGCTTTCCCACAATAATCTCTTTGTCTAACTTCATAGTGTCTTGTGTGTGTGTGAAATAGTTTTTCCTACTGAGTGGGAAGGAAGAAATACATTGATATTTGTATTTTTAAATATGTGCTAGGTACTCAGAGAATACAGTGACAGAATCACTTAAGAGTACCTAGACTGCACCGAGTGAAATGGATGTCCAATTCCTTCGCTGCTTCCAGAAAATGAGTATTTTCCAAGTATTGCCAACATGAAGTGTTATAAAATGTGTGAAGAGAAAAGGAGTACTTGTGGCACCTTAGAGACTAACCAATTTATTTGAGCATGAGCTTTCGTGAGCTACAGCTCACTTCATCAGATGTATACCGTGGAAACTGCAGCAGACTTTATATATACACAGAGAATATGAAACAATACCTCCTCCCACCCCACTGTCCTGCTGGTAATAGCTTATCTAAAGTGATCAACAGGTGGGCCAAAATGTGTGAGTGAGTGTGAGAGAGAGAGAGAGTTCCTGCTTCAAAAGCAATCCTTATTAAGAGTCCTGGTTCAAGACAGACTCCTAGGTGCTATAAATATGAATGAATGAATGAATGGATTGATAAGACCATGATGGCACAACCCTTGGTAAGTTGCTCCAATGAAAACCAAAGAACTAGGGTTAAACCAATGAAATTAATCGGCAGCAGGTCTAAAAACAAACAAAAGGAAGTACTTTTTCACACAACACAGTCAACTGTGGAACTCCCTGCCAGGGGATGTTGTGAAGGCCAAAACTATAACGGGATTCAAAAAAATAAGTAGGTAAGTCCATGGAGAACAGGTCCATCAATGGCTATAGCCAAAATAGTCAGGGACGCAACCCCATGCTCTGGGTGTCCCTAGCCTCTGATTGCCAGAAGCTGGGACTGGACAAGGGGGGACAGATCACTCAGTTATTGCCTATTCTGTTCATTCCCACTGAAGCACCTGGCATTGGCCAATATCGGAAGACAGATCTGACACAGGGCCAAAAAAGGTTAAGCAATTTGCAGGCTAAATGACCCCAAATTCTACCTTTAAAGACATATTAGGAAAGTATATAAAGTGTAATTAGGGCTATTCCTTATAAATAGCTAGCAAAGCCACTGTTAAAGAATTAGAAGAAGATAGTGATTGTAGTAGTCTATGTTTATCTAGATCTTGTTAGAGATTAACAATATCACCAAATGGTTACTGTCTGTCACTGCATTCTATTAGTTCAAAGATCAAAAGGAAATATTTACATTTAGAGAAACTATAAATGTGGTAGGTTTCAGAGTAACAGCCGTGTTAGTCTGTATTCGCAAAAAGAAAAGGAGGACTTGTGGCACCTTAGAGACTAACCAATTTATTTGAGCATGAGCTTTGAAGTGAGCTGTAGCTCACAAAACTCATGCTCAAATAAATTAGTTAGTCTCTAAGGTGCCACAAGTACTCCTTTTCTTTTTATAAATGTGGTAATATCATGGTCTTCATTTCTCTTTGAAGTATGTAATAAACTACCTGTAAATGGCAGGAAATGGGCAGTTGCCTTATACTAATCCATTCAGCTAATTACCAGTGGTCCTTAGAAAATAGGAGGTTACTTCAAAGCCACTGTTCTTCACCCAAGAAATGTCTGCTGTCAAGAGCCTATCAGTCACAAGACTTGAGGTCTCCTGATATTGGACATTGGACTATAACTTGATGAACTGATTCTGAAAGGACTCTTTGCAACTCTAAAGCTAACCATCTCTACTATGAAACTGACCTATGAACTTTATTCATGTCTGTATGTATAATGATCTTTTAACCAATACGCACTCTCTCTTCTTTTTTAATAAACCTTAGTTTAGTTAACAACAACTGGCTGTAAGCATGTATCTGGGTAAGATCTGAGATATTCATTAACGTGGGTAATGCGTCCAATTTTTTGGGATTGGTAGAACTTTTTATATGAATAAGATTTTTTGTAATCCTCATCATATTTGACTTAGCTGCCTGGGTGGGAGCTCAAGGCTGGATTGTTTGAAGGGAACTGTGTTTTTGGCTTCCAGGTAACCAGTAAGGTATTGTGGAAGCTGTTTTGTTGCTGGCTTGATTAATCTAACAGTTTGGGGGACTGTCTATCCCATTCTTTGGGGTTTGCCTTAGTGAGCAGTCGCAGCTATCTCAGCATGGCCCCCCTGAGACTCCAGTCACTACAGGATACTGGGCTAGATGGACCATTGGTCTGACCCAATATGGCCATTCTTATACTCAAAGCACAAGAAGCAAGGACCCAAACCATGAAGGGCTTTATGGAATATAAATCAAAGATGACAGGCCAAAGGGAAAATAAGCTAGTGTTCTGCTGTTTCTTGTGCAATTTGCAGTGGCAGTCAAAAAAGCTAACAGAGTATTTGGAATGCCTCTATAGAAACCCATGGTACGTCCACTTCTTGAATACTGCGTGCAGATGTGGTCACCCCATATCAAAAAAGATCTATTGCAATTGGAAAAAGTTCAGAAAAGGGCAACAAAATCTATTAGGGGTCTGGAATCTCTTCTGTATGAGGAGAGATTAATAAGATTGGGACTTTTCAGCTTGGAAAAAAGAGACTATGAAAGGGGAATATGATAGAGGTCTATAAAATCATGACTGGTGCTGCGAAAGTAAATAAGGAAGGGTTATTTACTCCTTCTCATAAGACAAGAACTATGGGTCACTAAATGAAATTAACAGGCAGCG